GGTTGGAGTACAGACTTAAGGTCACTAGGTGTCTGTTTAGGTCAAGGGTGTCTTCTCCCAACATGAGCATGAAGGAGTTTAAATAACAGGCTCCTTTCATTTGTTTCTTCACATATCAGGCCCCTCTATTTCCTTCTTGACCTCTGTTTTGTCCATGCTAGCGAGTTTCTCAACCTGAATTAACTCTCCGAGATACATTATAGATTCTCCTAAAAGGAATTTTTGTAAGTTTGCTTGGCCTCAATATAAATTGGAGGCTGGAGAAATTTTGCCCAACAATGGCAGTTTGAATTATAATACCTCTACCTCCTAACAATTTGTTCTGGAAAAGAGAAGAGACTCCAAAAGTTCACATTTCCCCACCTTGGAACAAGAAACAAACCAGATATATGTCAAGGCTATATCATTGTGAAGTGTTTGACTCTGGCAAGTGAGATGTTGTCACTCTCAGAACTGAATTTCCTGTAAAAGCAAGGCCAAGGGATTTCTCTGTAGAAGTAATGCCTATTTAACCCTTTTCCTTGGTGGTCAGGTATATATTCCTTGGTATGCTTGTTGCCTCCTCTTACTCTGATTTCCAGAGACACCCCTATCTCCTTTACTCTGACATTCCCTTCTCATTATCTGGATGGCCAGCCAGAACTGTCCAATTGATACCTTTTCTTATTCTCTTGGGAATTTTAGTAGGGAATGTCAGAAACTATCTAAGTATCAGTGATACATTCCAGTCTCTCACAAGCATTCAGCCTTAACCTGCAGGAAATTGTCAAGGTTCTACAAGACTGCACGACTAGGCAGGTATTGTCTATAACTTCCACTGTAATTTAAGCTACTCAAGCTGATACATGTTCTTCCTTTCCGTGTTAATAAATCTATCCTGATTCAAAGGGAATTTAATAGATCTGCTCAATAAAGCCACTATGAACCAAGGAACAGGCCACTTCAGGATGACCATGATCTTCCCAGGATTATCGGGGAACAGCCTCAGCTAGCCACTCCCACTCTTAACCTCAATCCTTCAAGCACTGAGTGTTCACCATATCATTTTTAAAATGCTGAATTTCATTTCTACTTTCCAGGTTAAAGAGGCTCTATTTGTACTTGTGTCTAGTCAACTTCCCTGAAGAAACAGGTATCAAGTCACAACCCCTAGATGCAAACCATTACTATCATTTACTATTCGGTTCGCTCTCCCCACCCATTTGCAGAAGAAAAAGTTTCAGAAGGGCTGAGAAGGTGGCTCAGTGGTAGAGTGGTATGAGGCCCTGGGTTCCATTCCTCAGCACCACATAAGCAGAAGAAAAGACAGAAGTAGTACTGTGGCCAAGTGGTAGAGCACCAGCCTTGTGCTGCAGAGCTGAGGGACAGCACCCAGGCCCAGAGTTCAGGCCCCATGACTGGACCAATAAAAAAGAAAAAATTTCAGAAGAAAATATCTCCTTCCCTTATTATTCCTATTATTAAGGGTATAGTTTCCTTAAAGAGATATAGTGTGAGATACAGAGAAGGCAAAACTAGAATAATAACAAAGGACTCAGGGAGCTGAAATGACACTGTGTCCTGGTACATGTCTCCAAACTTCTGGTTCCTTTGTTCTGGAGTAACAGTTGACTATGGTTGAAGCTACTTCATACTAGCTGGGATTTTCCAGACTCGAGATTAGCTAGCTGTATTGAATTGTCATTTGCAGGTGCTGTTTCACATTTCCCCTCACATTGCTATCTTTACTCTGAGGACACCTTATTAGGGAAAACACTACTCCCTTTTCTCCTTTGTGGAAATAACCTCCCATTTCTTGGGAAATTTCACAATGATGTACATGCACTTAGCCTAACCATATAATCATCAACCACTATCTACAAAACTGCCTATGGCTAAGAGCATGAGGCACTTGACCTCTTGGTCAAGCTTCCCACTGTCTGTTTCCTTTGGAGATGTACTTAGGCTATATAAGTACTTTAATCAATTCTAGCTTTTGCTTAATTAAATCTGGTCTGCTAAAGACTTCTCTGAGTGTCCTCTAAATTCATTCTTTGGTGAGATCCAAGTACTTGGCATCGTTCTCACCTTATAAAGGTACCTTAATATCTGGCTAACAAAAACCAAGCTCTGTTTGCTGCTGCACACCTGTTATCATTGCTACACAGGAAGCTGAAATCTGAGGATTGTGGTTTAAGACCAGCCAAGGCAAGAAAGTTTGTGAGACACTTATTTCTAATTAACTACTCAAGTGGGAAGACATGACACAAAGTACAGCCATAGTCTTGAGCACAAAAGCTTGGGGAACATGCCTAGACTCTAAATTCAAGCCTCAGGACCTACACACACACACACACACACACACACACACACA